ATATATACGGCTTTAGAAAGACGTCAACTACACGATTCGGGCACGAACGACGTGCGAAAAGACGAAACTGTCGGAGAAGACGAAAGAAATCGGCAAAAAAGTCCGGCCGGGAGCGTATTTTGCGATCGACATTGCGACGGCTACGGACGGCGAACGGATATAAACCGCACACCGGCGGCTTCGAGAGATCGCGAGCTACGCGAATCAAATATGAATATGAGCGAAAAAGGCTAGAAAACGGTCGAAATCGTGTAAAAAGTGTAAATTTCGAAAATTTCGAAAATGATAAGAAAAGAAGTGATAACGCGGTTATTGCCCGCCGCAGAATCTGAACGTTGCGATTGGCCGGGCCGGAAAAACGACACAAAAGTCGTCTATCCCCGTGGACAAAACTGGGGACTAACCTCGTTTTATAATATAAGAGATTATATTAATATAATTATATAGTATAATAAACCTTAAAGCCTATACGGATTCCTTCGCAACCGAAACGATAATACTGTTGTCTGTTGGTTAAAATATTATAAATTACGTATTTAGAATTCTATTTAGCTATTAGCAGTAGGATGTAGGTAAATAACCAAAATATTTACGACTCGGGCTTATGACGTGGTAGGTACAATAATAATTATCAATACGTGTATTTAATCCCACGAACGGTCGCTGTGAAGAGGGGAAGTGCCGAGGTGGTTACCCAGTGGTAGCACCTAGCATTAGTAAATTAAGGTCGTAAAGTAAAATGAAATATTATCTCGTTTAGATCGATAAGGTACGATAATAATAAAATATTATATTGAACGATACAAAATACCTGTTTGGTTTTCGGATCACACAACACGCATTTGTAAACCTAATATACAGGGTGTTATTTTTTCCAATATCTTATTTAATAAATTTGTTCTAATCTTATGTGTAAAATAATTTTAAGTATGAAAACAATTAACAAACGTACAACGTACACTGCCTTAAAATCATACCATAATATTATAATAATATTATAAAATACATCGTAACCGTAATGCCCGCAGGATAAAATATTGTTATTTGCACGGTTCTCGTTAAAATCACTCTGTACGTAACGCGTATTGTTATTATTAGGAACTGCTTTTATCTATTTACGTTACCTTGTAATCGGATTTTACGGTATTGGTTTTCAATAAGCTCGGTCATTTTAGTCGTCAAAACCCCGTTGGCGGAACAAGGTCGCGGTTGAGACAAAATATGTGAGTATTACAATTAACATTATTTAATACGTTATTTTTATGTCGTTTTGTGTTAATACATGTTAATCATTAGTCATTACTTAAGACAGTCTTTTTCGTTTTTACCGTCATTTCACTTCGCTAACCAAACACGAAACGTCGTCACAGGTGTTTAATTGGCTGTTCATAAAAGGCGACACTTGTAATACACTATACACAGTGCGTCATGCACTCTTCAATAATAATAATTCCAATCGTTCGCCATGCAATACGAGTACAACAATCAAATAATTAAAATCCGATTGGTAAAATCGCAATAAAAATTATAATACCTACGAACAAGTTCGGTGTTAGGGCCGCAAGCTAGCAAAAGCAATTAATTAATTTGTTTGTTTTCTCAATGATTTTGTCGAAAATATTATAGGTGTGTATAAGGAACAATATTTTCTTCAGTAAACGTAATGCAAACGAAAATAGCCGATGCCCTAATTGATAATATTCCGATGGTAATTATTATCGTCGATACGATCGTAGCGAACGACTGCTAGACGTTAAAATGTTCAAATTAAAATTCTCTTCCGAGGTTGAAAATCCCGTCATAATGAATTCTAATAAACATCAATGAACTGGTTTTTGGAACAATTAAATGACCCCTCTGATAAAAACGTTTGGAAAGGCCGACGAGACTCGCAGTGTCCGAATTTATCACACTCTTCTTTTAAGTAATTCTATACGTTTCAATTAGACAGATTTTTTTTTGTCCGTCTGCACTAACGCGCGTTTCTATTATTATTGAATTAAATATGACCGGATGTAGGTCGAATTGATAATTAAGACGACCGTTAAGTTTGGGGCAAGATCGTAATTCTTCACGTCAATACATAATAATATGTGAACCGACTACACATTATTTTAAGAGGACGCTATGACCGCATGACGTGTTGTCTCCGTCTTACAAATGTACAACATAGCAAAAACTGTTTTGCGCGGGACAACTTTTATTTTTCTGTATTTGTAGTAGTGGCGCCAAAATGTCTGAACATATAGGGTAGAAAATTATCTATGCAACAGCGTGCCTATATTTTAGATAACATAAATACAATAAAAGTTATTTGCTTTTAAACATTTCGTTTTTTTGTTTTTTTTTCATTTGTTTATAAAATATAGTGCTATTTAAAAAAGAAGTAAGCTGTTGCACGGATAAAGTTCTTCTTTAAGTGTTGTGAAAATTTGGTAGTTCTACAACAAATATGGTGTGAGAAAAGTTGCCCCACGCAAAACAGTTTTTTCTATGTTGCACATTTGTAAAACTGAGACAACACGTCATGCGTGTGTGACGTCCTCTTCACAAATACGGGATCCTTATTCATTTTAAAACTTTTGTTTTTAGGTATTTATTTAATTATTTTTAAATAATTAATAAATAGTTGTAATGCACATTTAAATATTTAACACCTGCCTATTTCTGGGAAATATTGGCTACTGAATTTAAAATTTAAAAATACATTGTATACCTACAATTACTGTTTTCTAATAACATGCTGTGATTTTTATTTTTATCGTATTATATTTAAATTTCACATAAAGAAAAAATATCACCAATACTCTATTAATTAATTATTATTTTATAATTATAATTTGATTTTATAACTCACATGTTCAAAAAACCGGGGAAGTCGGTCTGCGAGTAGGTAATGTAAGTCGTCGAGTGTCGACTTGGCTTATTAATATGTTCTCGGTTTGCTTACTATGCACGAATTATATTAAATTCAAATTGTCATAACAATTATTTTAAAGTGTTCATATAATGAAATACAAAGTATTTCGATTTATATTCTATGAAATATTCAATAACTAGTAGGTATGATGTGTTCAATTACTATTATTTCACTTTTTTAAAAAAAATTAACCAATATCATTGATTATAAATACTATAATATTTATAATCAATACTAATAATATGTTAAATAGTAATTTGGTTTTATATAGTTTTCTTAATGTTAGTCTAAAAATAAACAGTTGTACCAATCTTCAAATATAAACTCTGTATATAATATGATGGTGAAAACCAATTTATGAATACATTTTGATTGCAAACAAATTCTTAACTGTCCAATCACTGGTCTGTTCACCCACATAATAAATTATATACTACGTTGTGACAACAAGTTTCAAGTCCAAGAAAATTAATTTTTATTACCTACACAAAATAACTAAAAATCGTATTTATTCGTTTAAACATTCAATTTCATAAAAATTCAAACATGAAATGTATATAAGTATATAAAAAATTTAATTGTTGAGATTTTTAGTTTGCTGTATTAAAAAAGAAAAAAATACTAAAAAGTTTGAAAATTGAATTGTGTATAGAACATGATAATTAAAGTACCTAAATGGAATGTTTCAAGTTTCTATAAAGTTAATATTTTCTGATAGTAACAAAGTAACATAAATAGTTAAACGTAAACGATTGAATATCCAGTCTTCAAAATTTGAACTTCTATTGCTCATAAAAATATGTATGTCGCTTTATGGTATCTATTTTTTTTTACTAGACGGCACAAATTAATGCGCAAATTGCATTTTTCTTTAAATAAGATTTTTGACTATGATACTACTTATGTTATCAGTTTTAGTTATTACTTTTAGGGTTATCAATGCTCTCTATTTTTGAATTTTTCGAGTCGTATTTGAGTATTTTCTTTTATTACTTTTTTTCAGTTCATCTATTGAGTTTTCAGTTGTGTTACTTATAGTGGGAATAGATCTTAATTAATTAGTATACTGTAATAAGTATCTTGATAATATATTTTTTTTCATCTTATTTAACTATCAAAATGGAAATTTTAATTTAATTACAAAATTACTTTTTTAAATAACTGCTAAATGTATGAAATGTAGTATTAGGTGATTTAATATATAATATATAAAGATTTTAATATATTTAAATTCAAATGATGTATTATATAGTATCTGATAACTAGATTTAGGAATATATAGGTATAACACCACTAGTGTGAAATTTACGCACTGAAAAAAATTAATATTTGAGTTCTTAAAATTTGGGAATGGATACTTGATATGTAATAGAAATGTAGTATATAAACAAAGTTAATGATGCCTGATGGGTGTTGGGGGCTTCACCACCCCCGCTGGTTTATGTTAAATCATTTTGCATTGAAAGTGTACTTGAAATGTAGTTATTTCATTTTTAAATGAGCTATTCACTTATTGTTCCCTATTTGAGCGCTGAATTTATTATTATTTTAAACACCAGATGCTAATCGGTCGGCGTCGTTTGATTTAAAGTTATATAATATGTCCTACGACCTACATGTACAGTGGGAGGACTTGAACCCCGTGGGTCTGTGTTCGATAATTTAACACTTCGAACGCAGTTTTTAAATTATAAGATGAGCTTCTCTACCAATTCTTTTTCAATTCAAGCACTATATATAGTTATTATCTTATACGCCAACTAATGCTGATAACAGTGGCTTTAAAATTATTTTGTCACACAAGGGATAAGGCTTATTTTTTAACCCATCCTATGATCATTAATCATTAAAAACATAAAAACTAAATAGTTAATAAATACGTAATAACAAATTTAAACCTAATACTTTGAGTTATATACTATATTTTCAAGCACACAATAAATAGCAATTGTAGCCAAGCTATTGATACGGCTGTATAGAAAAACAAAACGATATGACAGCATAATATTATTTTTTAACTATTTTATGAATAATAAAGTGTGAAAATTTACATTTTAAATTTAACTATAAAAGAAATGAAATGCCAGTGCTGTACAAATACCGGAAGAGGACGTCGGCTTTGGCCTCGGATCTGCGGGCCGCCATCGAGCTGGGAAACTATGCGGCGGTGAAGCAATGCATCACGCGCAACCGGCGCCTGACCAACTGCCGCATCGGCCGGGCGGCAGATCACCCGGTGCACTTGGCCGCGCAGTCCGGCCACCAGCACATCGTCCGACTGCTGTTAAACCGCGGCGCCAACCCCAACGCCCGGAACAAGCACATGATGACACCCGCACACCTGTGCGTGTTGCACTGCAGACACGAAGTGGTCGAGTTGCTCATCCAGCACGGCGCTGACCCGGCCGCTACGGACAGTGCCGACAACACGCCCTTGGACCTGGCCACGTTGTTGAATGAAATGTACGTCATGTATACCTGTTTTCATAAATTCCAACAATATTACATTTGCAATAGGGTCATTTTTTATGTGTATGGGGTGGGGTTGGGGGGTGATGTTTATGTTGTATATATACAGAATGTATATTCTTAATGTTGTTGGTACGGTAGGTTGTTTTTATACGATTGTTTTACGGTTGCTATGGTAGGTAGCAAACACGTGTATGTGTGGCAAGGTTTTTAACTACTATGAACCCGGGTGGTCACCCATCCGGGAGCTAGTAGCTGTGACCGTTACTTACTCCCAGAGTCCCAATCGCATTCCGCGACTGGTAGCAGCCAACGCGCCACGCCTAGCCACTTGACTGGTTTTATTGACTGTTGAAGAAACTACTAACGTTTTTTCAGTGGATATAATACTTTTATGTGATCCACGTACTGTTTAAACTAAATCAAGTTTTTTACCATATTAACTTTAAACTTAGCGATTTAAATGTAGTATTTATTAAATATTAACTTCTAACTTAATGAACAACTTACCTAAATTAACTTGAGTTAATTATTTACATTAACTTCTCTGCCTACCTTTGAATAAGTGAACTTGGACACCTTGTAATTACACGCATATCGATCGGATCGATGTCTGTCTCATGTGTGTTTCGCGCGTACAATAATTTAATGTGCATTGCCCTTTGTGTAGACGATGTATAGACGTGTTGCTGAACTGTGCCATGCCGAAAAGTGTGGTGAACAAAGCGCTTTACAAAGCCGCTCTACGAGACAACATTATATTGATGAACAGACTGCTCAACCGCGGAGCGGACATAGACTACAAGGACCCGTCGACGGGGTTCACGGCACTCCTGCTGGTGGCGAAGAGCAAGAACGAGAGGGCCACTCAGTTCTTGCTGGAAAAGGGCGCCGATCCTATGGTACACGACCTTTACGGGTAATTATCATCCAATCGCAGTAAAAATAGCGTGTATATTGTAGTGTTTGTATGTATTTACTATAGTATAGAGTATTATATTTTTTTTGGAAGGACTGAAGTCCCCCCCCATAATATTTTCTAAAAATGATATAATATGCTTTGTACGATATAGTATTACAATATATTATACACAATGGAACTACTCGCCTACGTACTAACTTTTATGCTGGGGCAATTGTCAGAAATTTGGGGGTACAGCCCCCAAGCACTTCCCCCCCATCACCACACTATTTGCGCTAATGTTATAACATAATCTCTGTTCGTTGCATATTTAACTCCGAAATTTCTATATGTGTGTTTACCGTTTTCGCAGTTGGACGTGTCTACATTGTGTCGTCTTTTACGAGTGTCCCGACCGGATACTGAAGACGATTTTGTTGAAGACCTGTGGCCGGGAACTGATCGACTCCCGGACGTTCAAACAGGAAACGGCCCTACACTTGGCCGCCAGTCGAGGAAATGAGGCGGCGGCGGTGACGTTGCTCCAGGCGGGCGCCCGCGTGGATCTCCTCGACCACAAGTCTCGGACTCCGCTGTTGACCGCACTACACAGACAAAATGACGCGATGGTCAGGCTAATGGTTTTGGCGGGCGCCAACGTGAACCGTGCTCCCGGTTCGACCCGTGCGCCCCTGCACACGGTCGTCGCTCGGAACAACTTGTTGCTGACCCGGCTCATGCTCGAACACGGCTCCGTCGTCGTGGATCTGCACAACGACGATTTGAACTGGACGGTCATCCATTCCGCCTGCGAGTCTGGTAAGTGGTTTTTCGATGTTACCCATTCCTTCCCCCCTACAAGTACATACCTACGTGAACTTGGAAATAGGAAAAGTGTTAACTATAAACGACAATTTAAAATAAAATATTTATTAACTAGAAAAACTGCAGTTCATTTAGTTTACTTGGCATTACATATTTATATGATATGGATTTTGGTAAATTAAATCCCGGCCCTCCAAAAAAAAAAACTAATCACGTACGCATGCAACCGCATAATATATACCTGCAGTATTCAGTTTCCAAGAAAAATGGGTGATTTAAAACGCTAAGGAAATAAAATAAGAAATTAGCCATGTGATAAGCATTACCTAGGTAAAGTTAAAAGAGATTTGTTTCACACATAAGTATTCGTTTATTGGTTATTGACTAAAAAATGATCAGACTTGGCCACAATGTAGATAAAACTACTTTAATTGGCCCTTTTTTCGCGGTTTGGTTTTCGTTGGATGTGCATCCTTTTCAATAAACACTTTTTTATAAAAATATGTTTTTAAATTTGGACATAGAAAAAAGAGAGGCTGAAAACCCTATTATTTTTTAGGTAATAGGAAGCTGTTAAAGATGGTTATTACTTCTCATGAATATTTTTAAGGCAATAGTATGAGCATTTATTTAGGTAATTTATATTTTTGGAGAGAACATGTTATCAGCCACATGCCCTGCGAGCTAAGTCTGCACGCCTATGTATAACCATACTGTTTTTTTTTTCGCAGGGGACGAGGACATGTTGAAGTGCCTTCTGGCGTACGCAGAGCCCCACGTGCTGCAAGTGCTGCACTCCGGTGGCTGGCCCAGACCGCCACTCGTGGTGGCCGCTTCGATGGGCCATTTGCCGGCGGTGGACGCGCTGTTAGCGTGCGGCGTGGACGTGAACTCGCGCTGCGTCAACGGCGAGACGGCGCTGCACGCGGCCGCCCGGGGTAACTGGCCGGTGCTGGTGGACCGACTGTTAGACGCGGGCGCGTGCGTCGACGTCCGTGACGCGATAACCGGCCGCCGACCGCTGGACGTGGCCGTGTACACGTGGGGCCACCACTTTACGGTCACCGCTCACCTGGTGCACTCGATGCGGTTGGCCAAGGCGGTGGTCCGGCACGACTTGGACGCCGTCGAGTTCCTACTGGCGTGTGATGTGTCGCCAAACATGACCACAGAGGCGTTCGGGTCACCTCTGCATGTGGCCGTGCGGCACCACCGTTACCGCATGATGGCAACCTTACTATCGTCGAACCGTTGCCGTACGACCGTCCGCCACAACGACGCCACACCATTAGACTACGCAGTGGCCATGGGCGACGACCGCGCCGCTAAGATGATATTGTGGCGGGACCAGCGACGCAAGCGGTGCAGACATCCGTCGCTGACCGCCGTGACTCCTTCTGCGAAACAGACACTGCAGAAAGCTGCAGAACACAGGCGGGCGTCTATCTGACTGCTCCAAACGATGATCGCGTTTCTGTTATTGAAATCGACGACAATGAGGACGTTCTGTTTATTGTTTTTACTGTTTTCATTTTTTTTTCAATTACTTACCTACTTTATTAATTGTTTTTATGTTTTTCACTATCTTAATGTCCTTAAGATAAACCAACGTTTTTGCCGATTTTTCGCCCGTTTTTTTTACTACTATCATTATATTATTATTATCCCACCTCCGCCACATCACCTCAAACTTAAATTGGAACGACTTTATGTGGTTTTATTTTCGAAACGCACCTTTTACGATGTGTACCTGCTGTAATACAACTCCGGTCTAACTGTTCCGCTTTTATAACAACAAAGTAGGTATTCATCGTTTTTTTTTTTTTTCATTTTCATTACTATTTAATTTAAGAGACGTATGCTTAGTGTTGACGATGTAAAATATAATGAGCACCTATTTATCTTTGTATTACTTTAAATGTTAAGGGAATTAAAAACTGATTTTTCTCTAAAATAGTAAACGAAATTTGTACAATGATAAATAATAGTATAGTATACATATTATGTGACATTAAAAAAAAAACCAACACAAATGTGACTTGTTTGTGATTTATTTATAGTATATAGATTTTAGAATAGCGTTTTAAGTGTAACTAACAATGTAGACCTCTACCTGATACGATGTACCTAATATTGTTAATGTTTTATTTTGTTGTTGCCTTATGACTGTTTAAGTATATATAAAATATATGAAACAAAAGTAAGTAATTTTGGAATAATTTCGTTCTTCGGTTTTCTATTAATATAATACCGTGTTACCTTTAAAATTAATGAGCGGTGAAAAGAATCAAGTATTGGTAAATTATTAACTTTTTCTTCAAATAGTTAAAACACTTTAGTATTGGTATCTAACACGGAAATATGGAATTAGTACAATTTATTAAGGCAGCGTTGAGTATAAATATCTATAAATATAATGTAAAAATGCATTATATTTCTTTATAATTAAATTATATACTACAATTCCAAATTCCAATACTCTTTATTGAATATTATAATTAATTTACTATTAACATCCGACACTTATTTCAGATTACCGTATTTCACTAAAATATTCACGGATTTAACAACAAAAGCTTTAGTTACAAAGAAACACAATTGAAAAGAATAGTTATTGATGATTATTAATTAGTCCTTTATGCAGCAGGCTAACTTTGGATAGGAATTTACTTTCGCAATCTGTAAAACTGATAGTAATTATAATATTATTGTTTTGGGCAGGAATACGATTGAGAACGGTCATTATTGGCGATACCTTTCTTAGACACTTTTGACTATTACGATTGAGAACGCTCAGTTTTTATTTTTCCGCCCAACGTTGCCAAACTTTGCCATATAATAATCGGCTATGGCTATAGCCTATATAAATATATGTGACTCTTAGCACTGCTCACACACTATGTAGCAGGAATAAACGTCTTTAAAACTCAATACTATTCAACAGGGTACTGTTAAAAAGGCATCAAAAGCAGATGAAGAAAAAATTTCAAAAACAATACAGTCTTATATTAACTACTGTCAAAAAAAATCTTCTGAAGGATTAGTAAAATATTTAACACATATGGGAAATTTATATAGGGAAATTAAATTGTAAATTATTTTTAAATGTTTGTATTATTGGTACCTACCAATAATACAAATTTTTTTAAAAATTATGACATTTTTAAAATTTATAATTTTTAATTATTTTATTCAATGTTTTATTTCATTTTTATTTTGACTTGAATATTATAGTTCGGCAACGTTGCACTTAATTTCGTTCTCAATAGTACTGTTTTATTGGGTCAGCGGTTATTTCATTGTTCCATTTCGAGTGATCTCAATCGTACGCTAAAAAAGGTCGAACGTTCTCAATCGTATTACAGCCTTGTTTTCAATGCCTTATTTATCCTCAAAAAAAATACATGTATTCCTGAGGATATTTCTAAGGATCCACCCACCTTCAAACATTCATTAGAAAAAACAATCGGTAGGTCACATATTTTGGTTAATTTGTGAGCGTTATCAAAATATAATTTTTTTTAAACAAATCTTAATTTTTATAAATAAGTTACATAATAAATATTATTTCTAATTGAAACAACAATTTTTTAAAGGAAAAATTATTAAAGAATTGAAAACAATATAAAACCAACGTCTATGTTACTTCAATTTTATAAGGAAGGACCTTAATTTGACAACTCAAACTGCACTGTACTATTTATATAAGTGTCGATCTATACGTTGATGGGAAAAAAATACCGTCGACTAACAATTTTGCTAAAAATATTTTCAAAAATATTTGTTCTTAATAGAGTGGGGACTGAAAACAGTTTTTAAAATGACGTTTTTGTTACCTAGATTTTTAAGAAGAAGGAGCTAATTTTCGCATCTCCAACTTAGCTATACTATTTATTTGAATGGTGATTTATCCATTAATAGAAAAAAAAAATGCTAAATTGTTACTTTTTTTCGATCTTAGGTATGTCCGCATACCTGTTGATGTCTTTTTTAATACAATTTTACCTTTCGAGAATTTTGTAGTGGAAGGATTTCCGAGTGAACTTCAAAAATAAGCTGGATAGTTTACGGTACCGTCGAGTAACAATTTTGCTAAAAAAATCTTCAAAAATGTTTGTTCTCATAGGGTGGGGATTGAAAACAGTTTTTAAAATGACGTTTTTGTTACTTAGATTTTTAAAGAGAAGGAGCTAATTTTCGCATCTCAAACTTAGCTATACTATTTATTTTAATGGTGATTTATCCATAAATAGCAAAAAAAATGGGAGATTGGTACTTTTTGTCGATCTTAGGTATTGTCCGCATACCTGTTGAATGTTGATGTATTTTTTAATACAATTTTACTTTTCGAGAATTTTGTAGTGGATGGATTTCCGAGTGAACTTTAAAAATAAGCTGGATAGTTTACGGTACCGTCGAGAAACAATTTTGCTAAAAAAATTTCCAAAAATGATTGTTCTTAAAAGGGTGGGGATTGAATACACTTTTTAAAACGACGTTTTTGGTACTTAGATTTTTAAAGAGAAGGAGCTAATTTTCGCATCTCAAATATAGCTATACTATTTATTTTAATGGTGATTTATCCATAAATAGCAAAAAAAAAATGGGAGATTGTTACTTTTTGTCGATCTTAGGTATTGTCCGGCGTCCGCATACCTGTTGATGTATTTTTTAATACAATTTTACTTTTCGAGAATTTTGTAGTGGAAGGATTTCCGAGCAAGTTTCAAAACTAACCTAGATAGTTTACGGTACCGTCGAGTAACAAATTTGCTAAAAAAATTTTCAAAAATGTTTGTTCTTAATAGGGTGGGGATTGAAAACACTTTTTAAAACGACGTTTTTGTTACTTAGATGTTTAAAGAGAAGGAGCTACGTTCCGAATCTCAAACTTAGCTGTACTATTTATTTGAATGGTGATTTATCCATAAATAGCAAAAAAAATGCTAAATTGTTACTTTTTTTCGATCTTAGGTAGGTATTGTCCTCATACCTGTTGATGGCTTTTTTAATACAATTATACTTTTCGAGAATTTTGTAGTGGAAGGATTTCCGAGTGAACTTCAAAAATAAGCTAGATAGTTTACTGTACCGTCGAGTAACAATTGCGCTAAAAAATTGTTTGTTCTTAATAGGTTGGGGAATGGGGATTGAAAACACTTTTTAAAACGATGTTTTTGTTACTTAGATATTTAAAGAGAAGGAGCTAATTTTCGCATCTCAAACTTAGCTATACTATTATTTGAAGGGCCATACTAATATTAATATTGGGGGAAAATTATAGGAGCTAGAGTCAATCGTTTTTTAGTTACACCATAAAAACAAAAGCTCCAAAATTGTTATTAATTCGCTCTGTATCTAATATATCAAGAATCATTATAGTCCTCACATACCAGAGATATTATTTGGATTATAATTTACTAGTTGGATAATTAATTTAAATAGTATTGTAAATGTTACGTTCTTAAAACTTGTATTAATATTGTTTTGTTTTTAATTATGTTACATTAATTAATAATAGTATAATAAATAATCACCCAACATCCAACAATCCACCCACCACATTGTGTGACTATATATGGACTAATAACGATCGCCGCCACTGATTGTTTTGGTCACTCATCAGAAATTCATGTAATCAATAATAAATTCCATTCCCGACTTTGATAATTTTATTATTTATCCATAAAGGTATATACTTTAAGAAATCTTTTATGAAAATGGTTAGTGTGATTTGAAAGAAAAAAAATGATTGTAGGGAATAATAAAAAAAATAAAAAAAATTTTTTTTAAAAACATGCTTTTCTTAATACTACTTAATACATGAACGAAAAAGTTGAAAATAAACTTACTTTTAAAACAATTTCTTAATGAAACTTCAAGGTTATCAAGATATTACTAAAAGTGTTTCTAAAATGTATTTGTTGCAAAATTTTTAAAACTTGTGAATTACAAAAAACGAAAAGCATGATGCACTTTATGATAACTCCTATGTAAAGTCACTCTACAACTGAAATCTGAATCATTAGATAAACTTTATGATAAATATTTTAAAGATTATTGATCATACTTCAAATTTTGTAAGGGATATTCTTGACTCATAGGAGCCCCATGCATTTCGTTTTTTGTAATTCACAAGTTTTAAAAAATTTGCAACAAATACATTTTAGAAACACTTTTATTAATATCTTAATAACCTTGAAGTTTCATTAAGAAATTGTTTTAAAAGTAAGTTTATTTTCACCTTTTTCGATCATGTATTAAGTAGTAATAAGAAAAGCATGTTTTTTAAAAAAAAATAAACAATTTTGAAGTATTGTCACCGACCCTAGACCTCCATACAAAATTTGAGCCTCCTAGGTCATGTAGAAGTTGAATTCTCAAGATTTGATGACAACAGAAATCAATGAAACATTGCAGCGTGTTAAAGAAAAGCATGTAAAAATAGGT